CAATAAAGGCAAGAGTTACAAATCCCACTAATGCACCATTAAACTCTGCAATATTGCAAGAGTTACAAATTTCATTATCTCTTTTATGAAGCTAACTTCATGAGGCAATTTCTCATTCAATTCTCAATGGTTTTTGACAATTCTTTTTGTATTGTAAAGATCTCATTGCAAAGTATCTAGACCCACTTAAACCCAACACAATAGATGGTTGGGACCCACTTTAATATTTAATTAAAGTCACTAAAAACTTATTTTTTCCAACAAGTAAAATTTAAACAGAGGTTAAAGGGTGAAACATATTATTTACCCAGTAGCTGAGAACATGACAATTGAAAAATAAAAGTTAAATAAAAAACAAGAAGAAGAAGAAAAAAGAAAACAAAAGGGTAGATGATGTTACACCTTTATCTTTGTGGCCATGAGATGCGAGAACTCCCCAAATTCAATCGTTCCATTACCATTGACATCACCTTCAAGTGGTCTGGACCAAAAGACTTGGACATCCTAGCCCTTTTACTCATTCTAGGCTCATCTAAAACCTCAATTTGATCATCACCTTCATCATCAAAATGATCATCATCACTAGCAAGCTCATCAAATTGCTCCAAAGACCTTGGAACCCTTTCTTGGGTTCGGCAAGGAAAAATGTCTTCAAAGAAACATGCATTCCTTGACTCCATGATGGTATTCCTGTGTATGTCTAAAATTTCAGAGTTATGTACAAGAAACTGATATGCACTACTATTATGTTCATAACCAATGAATATACAATCCATAAATTTCGGGCCTATCATAACCCATTTAGGTGTAGGTATCGCCACTTTTGCAAGACACCCTTACATTCGTTAGAATTTATAAGAAGGCTTAATGCCTTTCCATAACTCATACGGGGTCTTGTCCACCTTCTTCCAGGGTACTTTATTCAGAATGTAATTCGTGGAGAGAATTGATTTCCCCCACATGTTCTGTGGCAATCCAGAACTTATCAACATTGCATTCATCATTTCCTTTAGCGTCCTATTCTTCCGCTCAGCAATCCCATTTGACTGAAGAGAATAAGAAACTGTGATTTGGTGGATAATCCCAGATTGAGCACAAATCTCAATAAACAGTGATTCATACTCACCACCACGATCACTTCTTAAAGCGTTAATCTTGCGGCCTAATTGATTCTTAACTTCATTCTTATAAAGAAGAAACTTGTCAATAGTCTCATCTTTGCTTTTGAGCAAATAGACATAACATTATTTAGTGCAATCATCAACAAAAGTAATGAAGTACTTATTACCACCATGTGATTGTATAAACTTTAAGTCACACACATCTCTATGCACTAAGTCTAACGGCTCTGAACTTCTTTTAACAGAATGAAACGAAGATCTTGTCAACTTCGCTTCAACACAAGTTTCATACTTATGTTTTGGATTAATCTTAAAAGATGATATGTAATCTAACTTGATTAATCTTTGTAAAGATTCAAAGTTCACATATTTTTGGCCGAATTCCTTTCCAGTTTGGAGTCCAAAATGGACGTGTAGTCTAACGAATCCATGGTCATCACCTTAATATTTTTTGACAGGAAAAATTGGTCTAAGATCCCTACCCAACTTTTGGTAGGAAGAGAGGTCCACAATAATATTTTTGATGCCTAAGATCCCTCAACCTTATTTCATGTTATAAAATACCTAATTTACCCTTCTTTATAACATACGTTTATTTGGATTTTGGCAAACTGAATATTTTATTGCTATTTTGTAGAAGATTTCATGGGAATGGACTTCATGGTGGAGATTTCGTAGGGATTTTGCAAGTGTTGCAGTGGACTTGACGATGGAGATTGCTATGATCCTGTAGGTGTTGCAGTGGTGTTGATTGTTTTTGTTTTGATTTTTAGTGGAGTTGAATCAGGTATGTTTTCGATGGAGATTCCATATGGATTTCGATTTTTGATTTGAATTGTATGTAAAGATTCTGATTTCATATTAGTTTTTCGAGTGTATTTTGGAGTGACACTTGCACTCTTCATGTGTTGATAATTTTTTTCTTTTCTCTGTAATGTTTTTGTCTGTCAACTCCTTGACATGGACTAGTACAGAGTTTCAACTCCCTTCATGGCCCATCTCTTCCCTGTCACCATGGACAAATTTGGTCAACACTCCGGAAGACATTTCATTAAACATTAGAAGGACAACACATGAACCATAAAAAAAAAAAACAGTCAAGCAAAGATTGTAAAAAAAAAAAAAAAAATCACTCTCTGTAAGACATTTCAACACATTTCATGAAAAAATCAAGCAACATAAAGTTTTAATAAAAAAAAAAAAAAAAAAAAACAAAAACAAAAAAATACAAAAAAAAAACAAAAGAAAAATCAAAAAACAAGTGGCCTATGAGAAACAAATTAGAGAGAGATATATAGTGCAAAAATTGTTGATTGTCGAGAAGGGACCTAGGTTATTGGTGCTACCGTCGTGATTCATTAAACAAATTAATTGATGATGTCAGCAAATATTGTTAGGTAACCCAATGGTTATTTAATAGAGGAGGCAAATTATAATGAGATTATAAATTTTAGGGAGGAAAATGTAATTTCTAAAACAGTATTGAAGTATATTTATTAAAATCAAATCTCAAAAAGTATATGTGTAATATAGTTTTGGACTATTATTTACATTATTTTGTCAACAATTATCTATGTTATATGGATTCAGGTATGGGTGTATGTCTAAGTATCAAACCTTTACAAATTTAAATTTTAAGATTAAGATAAGGTAAATTGCGCTCATCTCTCCTGATGTTTGGAGAAAATATAGTCAGCTTGCACTTTTGACATAATTATACTGACCTCCCTTTTAGTAAAACTAAAATAACTGAAACTAATGCAAATACTCAGTACACAATAAAATAAATGAAGATAAATATATATTTTAATTGAAAAATGGATGACAATATTATTTTTTCATTTATACAAGTAACAAATTACTGATGAAAAAGAACCTAACTATTATGTAAGTTACAACTTATTGAGAGAACAATGTATGATGTAAGTTTAGTGGAGTGTAATTTATCCTTTACGATATTGGGATATTTTTTCAAAATCGGATATGGGTACAAGGACTTGTACCGAACACACATATATATTATATATTATATAATATTCTTAAATAAGATGTTGTAAATATATATAAATTTACTTGAAATTAAATATACTAGTGTATGCTTGTGCCTGAAGGTACGATATAAATAATGTTGTGATTAGAATATAATTGTAATCCCAACACTATTTAATAAATTATCAATTATCAATTATCAATTTAATATAATTGTAATCCCAATCCTCCCGTCTTATTAAATAGATTATCGCAGACATATGCACGGGCATACCGGATAAAATACATTTGCTTTCATGTCTTATATGAGCATCAAAATTATAGATTCAATAAAGTACATTAAAAAGTAAACAACCAACTAATAGGCAAAAAAAAAACAAACAAACAAACAAACAAACAAAAACAAACAAAATCTAAATCAACAGCCAACATAAACACTCAATGGCGCGTCTTTTTTTTTTTTTTTACAATAAATCAGAAAACCAACTCTAATTTGACAACAATTTTTTTTTAAAACAATAAATCAGCAAACCAACTCTAATTTCACCAAAAAAAAAAAAATAAAAAAAAAATAGAGAAGAAAAGAATAACACTCAATGGTATTCTGCATAGACCATCTGATGATCTTCATACACTATCACCGCAACTATACTACAGTGCAAGTAGATGTTGCAACCACATAGACAAACCAGTTCATACCTACTGTTTTATCAAATTTCATAACACTCAATGGTGTTTTACACAAAATTGGAAACCATAACCATCTTCATACACCATACTACACTGCAAGTAGATGTTGCAACCATATAGGCAAACCAGTTCATACCTACTGTTTTAGTATAAAATGTATTAGATTGATTCAAAAATTCGCCCAAAAATATTAAAACTAAATGACTCATAATAACAGTATGTACATAACCTTGAAGCATCAGGATTCCCAAAAAACTTGCCCTTGCGCTGTTGTTCTTTTTTTTAAAAAAAAATTTATATCGAATTTGTTGCAAGATTATCCACTTATGAATTCCTACTCTTTATTTAACTGTCCCCCCACTCACCCTCACTTTAAATACCCCCTTCTTCCATTACTAACCACTGCTTATACATAACGCCTTACAAACTGGTGTATATTTGTATATAAACACACCCTGGTATGCATGTGCATATATCAATGGTTTAAAGTAAACAATTCATCATAACCACTTAAAATCAAAATAGATTTATAATGTGTATAACTGAGATTCAAATTTATATTATCATATCTTGTTAAAAAATGTTTGGTTTTAATATTCTGATGTGTTTGGTAAATTACATTGTGAACGAATTTTATTTGAACATGAAGTATGCCCAATCATTAACCTATAAAATACATGAAGGATGTATGTCCAATAATTGTGTGATTCTTTTTGAAGATTTTTCTACAAATTTTACTTAGAAAGTGACTATATAATATAAATTTAACTTGATGTAGTGTGAGACGTATTTATAATAAATTTAATTTATATAAAAAAAATTCTAAATCGATAATATTATTTTTAATTTTAATCATTTAGAGTAAATAAATTTGAATGGTGGGTCACCATAGCCATTAAGGAAAAGAATCAAAATAAAAAATGACTAAGGAAAAAAGAAATAACGTTAAAAGGAAATAATGAAAACAAAAAAAGGGAATACCTCCTCCAACGCCACCATCACCAACAAAAAAGAAAGAAAGAATGTTAAAAAGGAATAGTTGAGCATAGGGAGGGAATAATGTTAAAAAGGAATAGTTGAGCATAGGGAGGGAATTTTAAATAGTGAAATTTATTTATTTATTTATTTCTGAGTTTTATTTCCGTAGCTTCCCGCATATATACATATACATATATATATATATATATGAAGGATTTTGAAAATGTGTAAAAATGTATGAGAGATACATTTGTATCAATGGTTGAGATCTTTCCTGATCAGCATCTAACGGTTGTCTCTCAAACACTCCTCTCATTTCTACCCAAGTGTATCAAACACTCCTCTTCTTCTGTGTCTCACAGGTCTGCCTCCCACCTAACCCTTCTCCCTCTCTTCTTCTTGATTTCAAATGGGAGTCGAGTGTTCTGTAAATCCTTCTTGGTACCTTCACTCGCTTCGACTGAACTCATTCGATTCAAGTTTTTCAGAGCTCGAACTTCCTCATCCAACCCTTCTAGGGTTTTTCGAATGGCCACCGAGCCTCCTTCTTCATCCTCATCATCACCACCACACTCCGATTCATCCTCGGTCCCCGCTTCTCCTGCCATCGATTTTCTCTCTCTCTGTCACCGTCTCAAGGTATTCCTCATCCAACCCTTCTATGTATATATTCTATGTATATATGTATCGATTCTCTCTCGAATATCATTGCCTAAATTTGTGATTTTATTTTTTGGGTTTGGGGGTTTTTTGGGGCTTGATCAGACGACGAAGAGAAGGGATGTTGAGAATCCAGAGTCCATAGCCGATCGTATGTATCGAATGGGGTTGATGGCTCTCAAATAGGAATGCTGATTGATCTACATCAAGTTGGAATGATGCTAAGGTATAGTTACACAGTTTTCTCTACATCTACCCCCCGCATCCTTGGTGTTTGGTTCTGGTGATTTGTCTACTGATTTTTTTATTTTTTATTTGTTGTTTTTTTGTTAGCTGTTGGCCACATTGGGATTGTTTGGGTTATAAAATTGGCTTATTCTCACTGAAAAATTAATGATTTGTGTTTCCTCACTTTGTCATTACATATTGATTTGCATGTGGGTGTGATTTGCAGGAATTCGGAGAATCGGAAGTCGGCATCAGGTTCTCCAGAGAAGGAAGACAGGTACTACACCACGAGAGGGTCAGTGGCTGGGTTGGGGTTGGGGTTGGATGGAAAGGCCGGTGGTTCGATTATGATGGATGGAGGAGAGAGAGTTGGTGGTAGTGGCGGGGATGAAAACAGAGGAGAGATTGTTTGGCCGAAGCTGTATATAAGTTTGTCGAGTAAAGAGAAAGAGGAGGATTTTATGGCCATCAAAGGCTGTAAACCTCCTCAGAGGCCTAAGAAAAGGGCCAAAATCATCCAAAGAACATTACTTGTAAGTCTCTCTCTCTCTCTCTCTCTCTCTCTCTCTCTATGTTTCCCTGACTTTGTCTCTGTCTGCGTGTGATTTTATGTCTCTGAAATTATTACCTGGGAATGCAAAGGAATTCAATTTCAGTTATATGATCTGGGTTTTCTTTTTCTTTTTGGCTAAGATAAAATAAGATAAGAAGAAAAGAAAAATCAGCAGTGATTTGGGTGGGTTATGATTCTTTCTTTTTTTTTTTAAATTTTAAATCTTCTCTCGAAGGTCTTCAAAGATTTCTTATCATAATAATCATCAATGAATATGTTTGACAATGTGTTTAATTGGTAGGAATTGCAGAATGCAATTATTGTATCAACCAATGCCATAGTCTTCCACAATGCCAAAGATTAAGACCATGTTTGGTTGAATTTAAACTTTTTTTTTTTCTGTTTTGAAAGATTTTCAAAAAAAAAAGAGCTAAATTATTTTATCGTGCGAAATGGATAGGCTTGATTAGGCAACCCAAGTATGGTCATTTGAAGGAACTACATAGCTCTATTAAGCTATGCGAGCGAGCTTTAGTTTCTGCTGATCCTACTGTTACTTTGTTGGGAAGCTATTCACAGGTTTTTCGCCTTCTCAATTTCAAGGACATGGTTAAAAAATACCCATGGTTCTTATGTTGTTTTCATTTTTGTGTGACAATTTTTGGAAATTCATAAAACAATTTGAAAGTGTTTCCTAAGAAAGGAGTGATTTAGTTCATGAAAGCTGTTTTTGGAAACAATTTGCCAAACAAGTTTTCTATATTATTTTTCATTTTCAGAGTTTTCAAAACAAAAATCATAAATGATACCGATTGCACCCAAGTTCTCTTGAAGGCATTCTACATTGCAGCCTCTTCCACCATCGTAGGATGCATTTGAACTGGCCACTAGAAATAATTATAGTTGCCGATTATTTCTTGAAATTGCTTTGCTATTTCTGATAATTGGACGATTTCTGTTTTTTATTTTTTTCAGGCACATGTATTCTCTTCCAAGTCGGGAGTTTGTGCGGCTTTTCTTTCAAACTACCATTTAGACAACTTCAAGGGTGACATTTAGAGGCACGCACTATGATCTCCCGCCTTGGTCCATCAGCATTCTTCCCAATTGCAAAAATGTTGTCTTCAACACCGCCAAGGTAATTTGAATGAGAAATGCAAATGTTGCAGATCGCAGTTCAAACATCCCAAATGCAAATGTTGCCAATCAATGCTGAGCTTCTCTCTTGGGAAACATTCAGCGAAGACATATCCTCAGCTGATGAAGATTCCAAGATCACAGTTGTTGGCATAATTTTAGAGATCGAGCTTTTGTTTACAAGACACACAAGCATTTGTTAATCTATGTTGTGGAAAGTTTGAACATGAAATAAAGATCCCCACCTTCTTACTTTGTCTTATATATATATACTTATATATAGATATATAACCTATGGACGATTAAGAGTCTTTCACTTGGTTGTATGATTAAGAATTTGATGGATGCGGTGGAAGCTCATTCAAGCATATCTACCTTAATCACTCTTTCATGTGATTGAAGTTTCCAATCCACTGAAATGTTTTTAGTATTTGAGGCCACGTTTGTTTTGTTGGACCAGATTGCGTAAGACTATTAATCTAAGTGTTTGAATTTAAGATTTAAGGAGGGTTTATTGTAGAGAGAAAATGAATCAGATTACATAAGACTATTAAGTGTTTTCTTTTTTGTCTTTTTTTTTTTGAACAAACCTATGAATTTAAGATTCAATGAGGGATTTGTAGAGAGAAAATGAAAGAAAAAAGGGAAGAAAAGTAACAAAAAATTTAGTTGATTTTATTTACATTTTCCTCTATAAATCTCTTTCCAACTCATGCGGGATTTGTAGAGAGAAAAATTTAGTTGATTTTATTTACATTTCCCTCTATAAATCTCTTTCCAACTCATGAGGGATTTGTAGAGAGAAAATGAAAGAAAAAATGGAAGAAAAGTAACAAAAAATTTAATTGATTTTATTACATTTCCCTCTATAAATCTCTTTCCAACTCATGAGGGATTTGTAGAGAGAGAATGAAAGAAAAAAGGAAAGAAAAGTAACAAAAAATTTTGTTGATTTTATTTACATTTCCCTCTATAAATCTCTTTCCAACTCAAGATCCAAAATCTACGAATTAGGAAGGAAAATTAGTAAATTTCTATCATTCCATATTTGAAATAACTATAATTTTTTAATGGTCTTTCAACTTTTTATTCGCGCCGCCCCCCAAAAGTATATTTTCATATTATTTGTATTTATTATTATTTTTTAAAAAATGTACAAATATTTTATTTTTATATATATATTCAAAAAGTAAAAAAAAAATTATTAAAATATGAAAAGTTCTTTAAAAACATCGAAACACCAAAAAAAAAAAAAAAAATGCTAATTTTTAAAATTTTAACAAAAAATTCACATTTTTAAAAATATTTTTTTGCATAAGTTTCAATATTATTTTTTTAATTTTCCCAAAATGAATAAATACCGAGATGTTGCTTTGAACAATAGTGGAAACATCATCATGCGTAAACAATGCAAGGAATGCAAGGAAAATCACACGGCAAATCATAGATTTGGGCTTCTAGTTTCAAGCTTTATCACATGTGACCAGTAACCAAATAGGATTCTTATCATGAGTTTGGTAATTGTCTGCCATTAGTTCTGGATTACATGTGGTCAATCATGGAGATCTTAAATTAAGAAAAGGCCCATAGGACACACCTTTAGGAATTCAACATTTACCAAAAGACAACCATGTCATCTTCAATAGCCCAAAATTCATTTGGATGTTTGTCACACATGCCTAACATGTTTACTTGATAGGTTCATATGCAAAATTTTATAATATATGTGCATGCGTAGTTATGATTTATGTAATTTTTTAAATTTTTTTATTATGATTTATTGTGATGATACGATTTAATTATAACTTATTGTTATATTGATTATAAATTTTATGATATATTGTGATTTGTATTTTGGTTACGCCGCAAGTAGTGCATTGTTATTGTTAATATATAATTGTTAGTTGAATAGCTTTAGAATTGTTAATTAGTATATCATTGTTAGTTGAATAACTTTAGCTTTAGTATATACTTAGTATACATGGGTGACGACTAAACTAATCATGTAAATGAAAAAGTACTTTAAATAAGAGTAATTACACATATGATTAATTTGGAAGTCATTAATTATATCAACTACAACCATTTTAAAATTGAAATTGTTGCATTAAAAAATAACTATAGTAAAAGGACTTTAAAATGGTTCAATAGTCATTTTAGTAACTATATATGAAATAAATAATAAAAAAATCAAATCAAATCAGACGGATTAAAGGAATGTTATCCAAAGAAAAAAAAATGTCTAATATGAATTGCTAGCATATCACTCGTGCCTAAAGGCACTCCCATATAAACAACTTAAATGGTTAAATCTTTTCTCTATAAAAAATAAAAAACAAAAAATAAATCATACAACATAGAAGTTTGAAGAGATTACCTTAATTGGAGCGTTCAAGGGTGCCGTTGGTTTGTTTCCTCCTATCAATGAACAACCGCTGACTCTTTCAAAAGCTTCTTCATCTCATCCAATTCCTATAGATTCATATCCAGCCAACAGTGGTAGAGTATTTAGCATGAATAAGGAAGAAGGTCAAAAAGCAAAAGTACTTAGGAACATGACATATTTCAAAAAATTATTTAGGAACATAAAGTCTAAATAGGAGAGTATTTAGGAATATGACATATTTTCATAGTACATACCGTAGAAAAAAGTAGAAAATTTAAAATTTACTTCGCAAAAGTGTCACCCTTCCAAAAATATATATTTTAAAAAAAATCCATTTTCACTACTAAGATAAATGTGGAACATAAAAACTTTATAAAATTCATGTGAGTTTACCACTTTGGATGCCATTTAGGATAAAGATGAAAGAGATTGTCATATCTTTTCAAACAAATTGAACGAAGTATGCACAAATTGTTGCTCACTCGAGATTGCCACTCTTTCAACACTCATCAATCAAAGAAGTGCACGTTTAGTTTAATATTGTAACTCCCAGAACAATAAATACAAAATCATTAGAGAGATAAGAAAAACTTAACCTTAAAAAAATGTAGACCTATAAAAGGGAGCCGATATTACCATTCGTTTCTAGTCTTCATTCACCTGTAAAATACAGAAAAGAGCCACTATGATAATTAAAAGAGACTACCCAATTCAAAACAAACACACGCATTGTCACACTATTAAAAGGTTTTTCATAAACCACCCAATTCAAACTAAACACAAACAATGTTGCACAATAATAATAGATTACCCAATGCAAACACTACCAAAAAACACAACACATTGTCAACACAGATACAAATTAATGACTGATAAAAACATCAAGTTACAAAAATCAATCAATATTTTCTTTGGGTTTTATTTTTTTCAACTCTTACTTTTTGTAACTTCCCTTAATTGATCACATAATGTTAGAGAGAAAATTTAAGAAATAAGTGTTCCTAAGGTCTTTGGTGATTAAATTTAAAAAACAAATTCTTTGCTTGGCAATTCAACAACAAACTCTAAGTAACTTAACTCCCCCATGATTTACAAATCAATATAGCCCCAAAACCCCCATTTACTTTGTCCAAAAACCCAAATCACCCATTCAGATTCATTTTGCTTCCAAGCTTGAACTGAAAATTCTGAATTCTGAAAATAAAAAATTATTTAGGAACATAAAGTCTAAATAGGAGAGTATTTAGGTATATGACATATTTTCATAGTACATACCGTAGAAAAAAGTAGAAAATTTAAAATTTACTTCGCAAAAGTGTCACCCTTCCAAAAATATATATTTAAAAAAAAATCCATTTTCACTACTAAGATAAATGTGGAACATAAAAACTTTATAAAATTCATGTGAGTTTACCACTTTGGATGCCATTTAGGATAAAGATGAAAGAGATTGTCATATCTTTTCAAACAAATTGAACGAAGTATGCACAAATTGTTGCTCACTCGAGATTGCCACTCTTTCAACACTCATCAATCAAAGAAGTGCACGTTTAGTTTAATATTGTAACTCCCAGAACAATAAATACAAAATCATTAGAGAGATAAGAAAAACTTAACCTTAAAAAAATGTAGACCTATAAAAGGGAGCTGATATTACCATTCGCTTCTAGTCTTCATTCACCTGTAAAATACAGAAAAGAGCTAATATGATAATTAAAAGAGACTACCCAATTCAAAACAAACACACGCATTGTCACACTATTAAAAGGTTTTTCATAAACCACCGAATTCAAACTAAACACAAACAATGTTGCACAATAATAATAGATTACCCAATGCAAACACTACCATATGCTTGCTTGCCCTTGTTTACTTGCAGGGTTATAATAACAGAACCAAAACCAAACAAAGAAAAGATAACCCTGCTCTTGAAATCATAGAGAATGTTAAGCCCTTTGTGATATTCACGACTTTCATAATGACTGAGAATATTTTACAGAGCAACAACATGAAAGTAGTTAAAAAAACCCAAGTACTCCATTGTGAATCTGAAACCCAAGTACTCCATTGTAAAAAAACCCAAGTAGTTAAAAAACCCAAGTACTCCATTGGTTTCAGATTCTATAAGGAATGTCTTCGTAATTATGTTACAATTGTGAAATTTGTTGTATTTTTTTTTCAAATCTCAAGGGAGGTTAGTGTAATTTACCCCCATTTTTTTCTATCAAATGTTTTCAGATTATTGCCTTTTGCTTTCTAGGTATCTCTTCACTAAATTAACGGCAGTATATCTTAGACTTGGGGTTTTATGGGTTGCTGTGGTTTGATGCTCTAGTGAAACATGATGTTGAAAAACATAATGCCTTAAGTTTTCTATTTGTTTATTTTTTGTTGTTATTATTTGAATAGAAAAATAAGAATGCATAGTTGTAAAGGTAGATGTGTAGGTGAAGATATACTTACAAAACCAGATTAGCCAATGTGAGAAGAAAGGGACACCTGAGAGTCTTTCTCACAAAGTTATCCATAATGTTGTATTGTATCCATCAAGTCAAAGTCAATTCTTTTGCCATCTCTATGGATTATTATTATTATTATTATTATTATTATTATTATTATTATTATTATTATTATTATTATTATTATTATTATTATTATTATTATTTGTATATTGTATTTGAATTATAGATTTGAATAGACATTTAAAAAGAAAAGACAAAACGTGAATGAAATATAATTATATTTTATTTATATTTCATTTATTTTTTTTTCTTTTCCTTTCAAAATTACTTCTCAAATTTATGAGAAGTAAAAAACCCAAGTACTCCATTGTAAAAAATTCTTAGAATCTGAAACCAACAGATTCTGTAAATATTTCTGTAAGTACCCACAAATTTGAAATCCATCTATAAATACCATATTTATAACTTGAGAAATATGAAATCCATCTATAAATACCAAATCTGAAATCCATCAATTAGCAGTAAACTTGAGAAATCTAACCATGTTTGTAATAGGAATCTTCAAAATCACAGAGAATGTTGGAAAAATAATCAAACTAAGAATAACATTAGCATGAATCTATATGTCAAATCACCAAAAGCAGTAGTTAGAGATTGAAAGTGCTAATGATTTTTGCATGGGTCTACCCACAAGGCATACCATAATCTCTACTTAATAAGTATATACCATATTCTTAACTCTCAACCTTTTTTCTTTTTTTCCAGTAATCATTCTGGTTCTAGGATATGAAATCTCATTACCTTAAAGACATTGGTGCAGGAAAACCTTTATGAGTTGAGTGCACCGAATCGAATGAAGCTAGAAAGTAAAAAGTAAGGAAAGAGATGGCCTAAAGATCTGGCAAAGATAAAGAACAAAGGTAAGAAGGTAGATATTATGAAAGGGAAGGTAAGAATAAGAGAAAAAAAAGCCTAAACAATTACCATATTGTTTTTTTTTTTTATGATATTGAACTAAATTGTTATTGTCAAATTTTTCGTTAAAAGTAATGAGGTATGTTAATCATGTTGTTTGATTTTAATAATGTTTAAGTTGGGATGACAAATTCCCCCATTCAACCAACCAAAAAAAAAAGTGAAGAAGAAAAAATAGTAGGGTGGGGGGTAACCTTCTTAGAACTCTTCTTCTCTCTTACTTCATACTTCTCTTGGCACATCTCTGACAACCATGCCCCTGGACTCACCAACTGTTTCCATATCCAACCACAAATTCACAAATCATTAGAAAGAATCATAACCCACCCAAATCACTGCTGATTTTTCTTTTCTTCTTATCTTATTTTATCTTAGCCAAAAAGAAAAAGAAAACCCAGATCATATAACTGAAATTGAATTCCTTTGCATTCCCAAGTAATAATTTCAGAGACATAAAATCACACGCAGACAGAGACAAAGTCAGGGAAACACACACAGAGAGAGAGAGAGAGAGAGACTTACAAGTAATGTTCTTTGGATGATTTTGGCCCTTTTCTTAGGCCTCTGAGGAGGTTTACAGCCTTTGATGGCCATAAAATCCTCCTCTTTCTCTTTACTCGACAAACTTATATACAGCTTCGGCCAAACAATCTCTCCTCTGTTTTCATCCCCGCCACTACCACCAACTCTCTCTCCTCCATCCATCATAATCGAACCACCGGCCTTTCCATTCTCATCCAACCCCAACCCCAACCCAGCCACTGACCCTCTCGTGGTGTAGTACCTGTCTTCCTTCTCTGGAGAACCTGATGCCGACTTCCGATTCTCCGAATTCCTGCAAATCACACCCACATGCAAATCAATATGTAATGACAAAGTAAGGAAACACAAATCATTAATTTTTCAGTGAGAATAAGCCAATTTTATAGCTTATTAACATTTCTATTTTCCCCTTTGTTTAGATACTCTCAGAAGATAACAAATAAGATTGGTTTGCTCACCTTTAGATTCTTCTTTTTGCAGGGCGTTTGGGGCTGCCACTGTTAACGAAGAGGGATGGCAGAGACAGAGAGGGAGGAAGAAAGTAATTGGGGTTCGGGGTTGGGTCTCCGGCAAGGGAATGGGCTTCGATGGAGGTAGAGAGAGAGGTGTGTTCAAAATTTGAAAATTGAAAGAGAGATTTTGAGCAGAGATGAGTACATATGAGAGAGAGATTTTCAGCCACATTAGAGGTGAGAGACATTTTGGACCATTAGATGTTGATGGTAATTGATCTCAACCATTGAAATGTCTTTGTAGGACAAATGAGAATGAGACATTTTTAAAGTCAATAACCAACTTGATCGCAGATTATGTAACGAATACAGAGCTTAATGCAATAGATGTGTTTTTGGGGCTGCCACTGTTAACGAGAAGAGGGATGGCAGAGACAGAGAGGGAGGAAGAGAGTAATTGGGGTTCGGGGTTGGGTCTCCGGCAAGGGAATGGGCTTCGATGGAGGTAGAGAGAGAGGTGTGTTCAAAATTTGAAAATTGAGAGAGATTTTGAGCAGAGATGAGTACATATGAGAGAGAGATTTTCAGCCACATTAGAGGTGAGAGACATTTTGGACCATTAGATGTTGATGGTAATTGATCTCAACCATTGAAATGTCTTTGTAGGACAAATGAGAATGAGACATTTTTAATCCTTGGATTGAAGTAATCTAATGATCCACATTTTGACACATACACATTTTTAATTTTGAATGCAAAATCATCCTTCCATTGTTATATAGATTTTAATTGAGCCATTTTACCGAACATGGTATATGCATGAAGACATGCACAAAATATAGAGGGGTGAAGAGACATTTTAATTGAGGCAATACAAATGAGAAACAAATCACATAATATAAATGATAAACACAATCAAACTCGAATGAGAAACAAATCACATAAAAAATTAGACACCTAACGAAAACCCAAATAAAAATTTTGAGGCATTTTAGAGACCCATTTTAGAAAAATATTTCAGAGACCTATGTGAGGCATTTTACAGAACATAGTGAATGCATACGAAGAGACATAAAACAAAAAAAGCCAAAAAAGAAAAATTAAAAAAAAAATGTTTTGATGGATTTTCATAAAATAAAAAAAAAATGTTTTGAGGGATTTTCATAAGATTATATGTTCTCAAGTAGAATTATATAAGCAGCTAGCATGGTATATAAATTATTTTAATAAACTATATAAACTATTTTAAAATAAGCAGCTAGCATGGTGTTCATAAGTTTAGAATTATATAAACTATTTTAATTGAGCCATTTTACCGAACATGGCGTATGCATGAAGACACACACAAAATATAGAGGGGTGAAGAGACATATTTTAATTGAGACAATATAAATGAAAAAATAATTTCACTCAATTTAAAATTTCTTCCCTCTACTCAACTATTCCTTTTTAACATTATTTCTTTCTTTTTTGTAATAAATAAATTTCACTCAATTTAAAATTCCCTCCCTATGCTCAACTATTCCTTTTTAACATTATTCCCTCCCTATGCTGATGGTGGCATTGGAGGAGGTATTCCTTTTTTTTGTTTTCATTATTTCCTTTTAACGTTATTTCTTTTTTCCTTAGTCATTTTTTATTTTGATTCTTTTCCTTAATGGCTGTGGTGACCCACCATTCAAATTTATTTACTCTAAATGATTAAAATTAAAAATAATATTATCGATTTAGAATTTTTTTTATATAAATTAAATTTATTATAAATACGTCTCACACTACATCAAGTTAAATTTATATTATATAGTCACTTTCTAAGTAAAATTTGTAGAAAAATCTTCAAAAAGAATCACACAATTATTAGACATACATCCTTCATGTATTTTATATGTTAATGATTGGACATACTTCATGTTCAAATAAAATTCGTTCACAATGTAATTTACCAAACACATCAGAATATTAAAACCAAACATTTTTTAACAAGATATGATAATATAAATTTGAATCTCAGTTATACACATTATAAATCTATTTTAATTTTAAGTGGTTATGATGAATTGTTTACTTTAAACCATTGATATATGCACATGCATACCAGGGTGTGTTTATATACAAATATACACCAGTTTGTAAGGCGTTATGTGTAAGCAGTGGTTAGTAATGGAAGAAGGGGGTATTTAAAGTGAGGGTGAGTGGGGGGACAGTTAAATAAAGAGTAGGAATTCATAAGTGGATAATCTTGCAACAAATTCGATATAAATTTTTTTTTAAAAAAAAGAACAACAGCGCAAGGGCAAGTTTTTTGGGAATCCTGATGCTTCAAGGTTATGTACATACTGTTATTATGAGTCATTTAGTTTTAATATTTTTGGGCGAATTTTTGAATCAATCTAATACATTTTATACTAAAACAGTAGGTATGAACTGGTTTGCCTATATGGTTGCAACATCTACTTGTAGTGTAGTATGGTGTATGAAGATGGTTATGGTTTCCAATTTTGTGTAAAACACCATTGAGTGTTATGAAATTTGATAAAACAGTAGGTATGAACTGGTTTGTCTATGTGGTTGCAACATCCACTTGCACTATAGTATAGTTGCGGTGATAGTGTATGAAGATCATCAGATGGTCTGTGCAGAATACCATTGAGGGTGTGTTTGATTGGGGGGATTAGGAGGGGGGACTATCCACTATTTGGATTGTAATCCAAATAGTGCACCTTATCCGTCGTTTGATTTTTTTTTAGTCCGGCGGACTCCATGTCCGGTCGGACTCCATATCCCCCATATGGGGGACTATCCTGTCCTAGGGGGGGTGGGACAGAAAGTGGGGGACTAATCACTGTTTGGATTATATGCGAAAATGACCATTTTGACCCTCTACTATTTAATTATGTATTATATTTAATAAAATTCAATAAAATTTAAATGTCTCAATTTAAAAATAAAATAATTTTATTTAACTTTTTATTAATGTTTTATTTATTTAATTTTTTAAAATAATTTTTTATAGATATTTTATTGATGTTTTATTTTAAAATTTTGTTTATGTTTTATTTAATTTCATTGTTTAAATTTAATAGATGTTTTAATAGATGTTTTATTTAAACAATTAAATGTTTAATTTCAACAATAAATAATTTCATTTATTTAAATTATGTTTTATTTAAACATTTAAACATTTGTACATCAACATGTTTATTAAATTATTTCAACATCTGTACATCAACATGTATATTTATTTAACATCTATTAAATTATGTTTTAATACATCAACATTTGATTACATCTACATTTGTTAATTGTTAATTACATCAACATTTGTTAATTGTTTAAACATAATCTATACATCAACATTTATTTAATTGTTAATTGTTAATTGTTTAAACATAATCTGTACATCAAAATAATTTCAATGTTAATTGTTTAAATAAAAATTTAAACATTTAACCATTAGTATGTTTAAATCTCTCAAAGATAATCAATAGTGCTAAACTCATTGTTCAGAATATAAATTGCGTACCTTAGGCCCACGGGGGTGCCTCTCTTTTATAATTAACTCAATCATTGTCCCACTAGAAGCCTAGCTTCAATGGACTCTTGTTCAGTGCTTATCCTCGACTCTCTAAGAAATAAAGATAAACTCCCTAAGGGTGTTATCCTTATCCATGCTAAAAGTCCTTCCTCATTCTAGGACTCTTGTGCCTTATCCGCTTATCTCGGATTCCGATATCTTCGGAGATAACCTCGGCGTCATGATCAGGACACGTGGCACCTCGATTGACACGTCGGCGTCACCTTGGCCACGTGTTGGTACTCAGAAAACATATTCCCATAGTTTCCCACCCATAAAAAATTGTTGGCTTGACTATTTCATATTTTATTAATTGTTGCGATGGCTTCAATTCCATATCATGTAATAAATGTGTTGAAGATTAAAACTAACAGGAAAATGTGCATAATGAAAAAAATAAAATAGAAAACATTGCAGGTCTTAAGATGATATATATCTTTGTAAATTTTGAGTTACTATAGGAATAACTTTGTGCTAAGTTATTGTCAATATTAAAATTTATGTCTAATTGTGATTTTATTTGGGTTTTTGGTTTGTATACCATTTATTTACAGAGACTATAAATTGCAAATGTTTTTTTCCCTTCCCCGTCTCTATCGCATTTGTTTTAATCCCCATTGGAATAAAAGCTAACAAAATCATAGTGTAGTGCTTTTGTGTCCCATTGTTCTTCCTACATGTGAGCTCATTTTTTAACAAGTGCTTTAGAGGAGATAGTAAAAGTAGATGAGGAAAACAA